GAAACAAACGACATGACTTCGAGAGGTGCAGTTGAGGTATATGAGAACGCCGCTGAACGAATAGACAATGACCACTACTAGTAGACTCCGGTATTTATGCTATGGGCAGTCCCAGCCGAGGAAACCTCGCGCGGGCGAACCGCGTCGCGACGCAGGGGAATCGCGAGCAGGAACAACAGACTCGGCGCCCTCATCCTTAGAATGATTTCAGGAAAATCCTCCTCCTGATCCTTATCCTTATCCTAATCGCCCATCGAACCCGGACGCGTCAGAACGAATAACGCCTCGCTACTACCCCATTGGTCAAAACGAAGGGTATCTTTGGGGCGCAGCGGAGGCCCCTCAACGCTTACGTGTAAGCCCCACAGCCCCACAGGCGTTACAACGAATCAGCTTGCATGGTGCGGCCGGTATGTGAGGTGTGCAGCCCTCTGGGGTAAACATGCTTGCGGTACAGGTGGCGACGCAAGTGCGCTGCGGGCAGAATGAAACGAAGAAAAATCGGCAGCGCCCACGTTCCTACGCCAACAATGGGTGATCCATAATCGGTGCTTGCTTGGTTACTAGCAGTTAGTCATCACTCGCCGAAATCCGGATTGCTACAGTAGTCTTTGTCTCCCGCATCTGTAGTCGCGGTGTGACGCGTGTACTGAGGCCATTCGCGTAAAAGGCGCAAGCGAATAAGCGGCGAGTGAGCTCGTTTAGGGTTCAGAGCTGAGGGTACTCGGGGGTAAGAGATGCAAGCTGACGCGCTAAGGAGCATTACCTCTAAAAACAAGCGCTATAGTGTGTAGCATGATATTTCAACCATTTACCAATATTATGTCAGTAGATTTCAGGTAAGGACATCATCTCACAATGCCTGAGCACACGTAGTGGGGGCAGGAATCTCATGGAGCTGACATATATATGATGCACTGCAACTGAGAGGCTGTGACCGACGCTACCATGACAACAAAAAACACGGTGTTTTGTGAAGATGAAGTTGAAATATGTTTCAGTTTCAAATAATGTAACAACTGAAAGATCACGTGTGTTCCATTTACCTATGCATAGTAGTTAAGGCTAGCCTTTTTCTTGGCCCGCACCTGAATAATTCCTTCATTGAAATCCTCATGTGTCACCAGCAACCAACACAAGACCCACAAGTTAGCAAAGCATGCCCTGCTAAAATAAGGTGTCATGAGCCAAGTAGGATAAAGTGACACAAGAAACGTAAAAAAACCACATTCATCATCATAATTACCTCAGTGGCATCGCGGCGCAGGGCAAGCATGCCGGCCTCCACACACACCGCCTTGAGTTGAGCTCCGTTGAAATCGTCTGTTGACCGCACCAGCTCCTCGAGGGATATGGCTCAGAAGACTCACCTCAGTGGCGTCTCGGCGCAGGGCAAGCATGCCAGCCTCTACACAGACGGCGTTAAGTTGAGCTCCATTGGAATCATCTGTTGACCGCGCCAGCTCCTCGAGATTCACATCCGGGTGTACGCTAATTTTCCGTGAATGGATCTGACAACGAGTGAGGGACAGGGGATCAGGGACAGAGGTAGGGGGTTGACAATGGTAGCTCCTCCCAATACAGATCTGGGTGTACGTAAATTTTCCGCGAGTGGATCTGATAGGAAAAAATGCAGAGAAAGCAGAGAAACTATATGACTTCAAACTATGGATAGACCAAAACCCAAGCTTCTCGCTCTCTGCAGCATGCACGCAAGCAAGCCTAGCAGTCCCATGCACTCTTTCTCACCTGGAGAGCACAAACGGTAGTCCTTTCACTCACCTCACCTACAGGACTCAAGCCCGGGATATGGGTAACCACTGACCCCATGCCTTGCCTCAACTGTCCTTGCACTCAGCTCACCTGCAGCTCTAGCAAGCACGGGAGCCCTCGCACTCCTCACCTGCAGGATGCTATCCCGGGCCTCCTCTGTGATCTGTGAGAATTCATCAATGCTACGGCTTCTTTCACCTTCTTTCCTTGCACTCACCTCACCTATCGCTCACACACAAGCATGGGAGTTCCTGCACTCGCATCACCTGTAGAATCCGAGCCCGGGCCTCCTCGGTGGGGTGCGGGAACTCATTGATCGCACGGCAAATATAAACCGCACCCCACAGCAAGGCACTCTCACCTGCAGCGTACAACCACACAAGCATGGGAGTCCCTGCACTCCTCCTCACCTGCAAGGCAGAAGGGCTCAGTCAATGTGGGGAGAGGAGCGAAGATGGTAAAGAAGGCAGGGAGGTGGTGAGGCAGGAACAGCACTTGAATAAAGAATATAAGCAAACTCACTACAGCCTAACAACCACATGTAACTTATGACATTTTCAGCCTACAAAACCAATGTAGGGGCCTGTTCTCTACTCATCAACACATCTACTTATCTAAAGGACGTATAAGCTACCACGTATTTGCATCCTGTGAGCAGGGTGAGGGTGTCACCAAATAGCAATGTCAGGCTTGTAACTTGTTCAACGTTACGCTACCCGGAGCTACATTCCATCTGTACAGCTACGTTTTTCACAGCAGCTTCCACGTCAGCAGCCTTGGGAACATCAACCTCAACGGTCACATTGGAGTAGCAGCACCAGCGGATGATACTTATTGTGAGGCCGACGAGGAACACCAGAATGGAGATGGCAATGAGTAGCCACTTCCACCACACAAGAGGAGGGCATGACATAGGGCATTGGTAACCAGTGTACACTTTACCTGGTGGTGGTTCATCATACAAGAGGCGAAACGGAGGAGACAGAAGAATATCGGACAAAAAATGAGTGATTTTTTTTTAATTTATTATTAAAAAGCCATGCCGTATAAAGCGGTTGGGTGCAAGCAGCATAAATGGGTCACCACAGGCCTCAATCAACGCCCACTACCAGAAGTGAATTCATGTGATACAAGTCAGTATCACCAGTTCTTCTTACCCAATGACAGATCTAAATAGAGGGATTAAGAAAGACGTACCAGTGAAACCAGTGGTGGCGTTGGTCACATCAGCCCAACTTGGCTGAAAGTTGAACCTGCAGCTGCCTTTTGAGGTCACGCACGACTGCAGTGCGTAAATTTTGAAAATCAATTGCCGTGTCATGCAATGTTGGTGATGAGGTTGATGAGGTCCATAGGGGTCCAGTGCGGTCCATATGCATGGAAAGAAGAGGGGTAATGCGAAGGGGGGAGGAGCAAAAAGGCAATCCGAAGTTGCGCAAAGAGGAATGAGCAATTCACGCCTCTTCCGACGAAAGAATTGAAGCGATGCGCTTTAATTTTTCCACTTTCCACCACGAAGAGCTAACAGGTAGGTAGGTAAAAGACGGGCAGGTGAAACAAGAAAGCGCAGAGGAGTGTTCGTGGCAATTCTCATACAAATCTGCGTCGATTCGAAGTGACATACCGCGCATTGTTCGTAGCAGGCCGGAACGAAGCCGGAGGCGTTCGTACACGGCGTATTACAGTCGTAGTACGTAACGGTCTTCTTAGAGGTCTTAGCGGAATCTGCTACACTGCAGTGAGCCAAGACTGTGAAAATAGCAGCAAGCACTATTACTTGGCTCCTCATTGTGGGGGGAGTAAACGACATGACTTCGAGAGTGGCGGTTGGTGATCAATAAGTCTGATAAAGGTTGAATTGCTGGTACGCAGCCTGATAGATGAATTACTGAGAATGCTGAGAATAATAAGAAAAGGCAAAGACCGCTTGTGGTAGACTCCGGGGTTGATGCTAGATATACAGCCAGTCCCAGCCTACTAGAGAGCCTCGACCTCATGGGTCTCTCCGCGTCGCGACGCAGCGGAGCCGCGGGTAGGAACTACGAAATCGGCGCTCACCTCATCCTTACGAAAGACCCCTCATGCTTATCCTCCCGTGGAGCGTCGGACGCGCTATGAACGAGTCAGCTTGCGCAGTGTGGCCCGTTTGGCGGGCAGGAGAAACACACAGAAAATACGGCTGGACCAATGCCGAAACCAATAATGACGGGTCCATAATGGGCCCTTCGTTGGTTAGCAGGTGTAGCCTCTGCCTGCCGCATCTATAATTGCGTGCCGTGTGAGGCGCTTTTCCAAGCAGAAATAATTGTGTGTGTGAAAGGGCGGGAAGTGAGCGAGCTTGGTGAGGGTTCAAGAGCAGGACGGTGAGGGTGGTGAAGGTGCTTGTCAAAGGTTTAATTTGAAACCACCTGCACGTGTACGCGCTAAAGAGTATTAGCGTGCAGGTTGTTTCTATACATGCGATACATCTGTTGGTTGGAATGGAACTTGGAAGCACCAGTAAGGCTACGCTGTGGGTGACTTGCACGTCACGGTTCTGTCTCCATCGCGTCCCAGCATTCCGCAGCGAAAGTCGCAATGCCTTCGCTCTGTGATTACAGCACCGTTATAACAGTTACAAAATGTTACATTTCGATATATGCGGGAAAAGTACTCTCTTACCCACACTAGCTGAGAGCAGAAACAAGTTTCAGATAGCGTAACAATTGATAGCACAATGTGTTCCATTTATGCATAGTAGTTCAGGCTAGCCTTTTTCTTGGCTTGCACTTGAATAATTCCCTCATTGAAATCCTCATGCGTCACCTGCAATCAAAGCCAACGGACAAGACCCACTGGTTAGCAGCACCCCGTGTAGAAAATCATTATAATGAATGAAATGAATAAATAAACTCGCCGCATGTACAGTGGCTGATAGCACAAGGGATGTACACAAGAAAACTTTGGTCAGAATAGGTAATCACCTCGGTGGCATCGCGGCGCAGGGCAAGCATGCCAGCCTCTACACAGACCGCCTTGAGTTGAGCTCCGTTGAAATCGTCTGTTGACCGCGCCAGCTCCTCGAAATTCACTCCGGGTGTACGTTCATTTTCCGTGAGTGGATCTGACAATGAGGGAGGGCGGGCGGGAGGGCAGGAGGGAGGGAGGAGGGGAGAAGCGATTAGAAGCAGATAGGAGTTTGAGTAGAGATGTCTCGAAACCTGTTGGCCAAACTAGCTCTTCGAAATTCACCCTTCTGGGTGAAGGTTCATTTTCCGTGAGTGGATCTGACAGGGAGGGGAGGGAGAGGCAAGCAGACACAGATATGAGATGTGAGACGTCTTGACCATTTTCACCACACCAGCTATTGAAGATTCAGATGCGCGTGTACATTGACCTTCCGCAAATAGAGCTGATAGAATAAAACGAGGAGCCCTCACCTGCAGGATGCAAGCCCGCGCCTCCTCGGTGGGGTGAGGGAACTCAATCTTCCTGTCCAGCCGCCCCGAGCGCATGAGAGCCGGGTCGAGGATGTCGGCCCGGTTGGTGGCTGCCACGACCTGGTGGAGAAACAGTGTCAATGGGGGTCAATGGGGTAGGGAGTGGGAGAGGCGAGCAGCAGAAATGCCTGAGTCATCCCGAGCGCATGAGAGCCGGGTCGAGGATGTCGGCCCGGTTGGTGGCTGCCACGACCTGGTGGAGAAACGGTGTCAATGGGGGTCAATGGGGTAGGGAGTGGGAGAGGCGAGCAGCAGAAATGCCTGAGTCATCCCGAGCGCATGAGAGCCGGGTCGAGAATGTCAGCCCGGTTGGTGGCTGCCACGACCTGGTGGCGTGAGAATGTCATATATATGAGAGCATGGAAAAGGGGGACAGGGCAGGAACAGTTGCAAGGTGCCTCAATTCCAAACGCTGCTCGGGTCATGACTACCATCGGTTGAAGACCACGAGTGGATGAGCACAGGAGCATGTACAAGGGCAGAAAGGCTCAGTCGGTTTGGCAGAGGAGCGACAGCAGATGGAGAGGTATGGGGAGGTGATGAGAGAGCAGAGAGCACAGCAATTGAGCAAGCATGACCATCTGTGTGATTGGCTTGCCGTCTCATCTTGATTCTGTCGTCACTGCTGAAGCCATCCCTCTGACTCAGCAGCTCCATCTCACCATAATATGTCTTGAGGGCCATATGACATTTATTCTGTCTTCACGGACTTCTCACCTTAATTCTGTCGTCACTGCTGAAACCATCCAGCTGACTCAGCAGCTCCAGCATCGTTCGCTGCACCTCACGATCCCCACTCACTTCACTGCCGGTATTTGGGATCCAGGGCGAGGGCGAGTGGGAGATTTGAAATGAGAGCAGAGGGTGGGAAGGGGGGAAATATGGGGAGTGGGCATAGAGCAAGTGGGTCAAACAGTTCCAAACAGCATCGCCTACTGCGACTCACCCAATGCATGAGCAGGGTGTTCCAGAGCATCAGCAAACTGAATGAAAAGTGCACCCTATGCCAGTATTCAAATGTGTCAATGGCACCCACCTAACAGATCGTTTGGTGCCGATGGCGTCGATTTCATCAATGAAGATGATGCACGGCGACTTCTCCTTTGCCAGCTGAAACTCATCCCGCACTAGCTTCGCCCCGTCTCCTACGAACATCTGGAGAACGGGGTTGGAGAAGGTAGGGGAGGTAAGGGGGGTGGGGAAGGGAGGAGTGGGAAGGCAGGGAAATCGATCTGCTTGCCCAGCTGAAACACGTCCCGCACTAGCTTCGCCCTGTCTCCTATGAACATCCGTGAGGGACGACAAGGGGGTAGGCAAGGTATAAGAGGTGGTGAGGTGGGGTCTACTTCTCTCTGGTCAGCTGAAATGCATCACACCAGATTCGCCCCGTCGCCTATGAACATTTCGAGAAAAGGGGTGGGAGGAAAGGAGGTGGGTAGGGAGATGAAGCAGTGGGGAATAAGGAGGTGGGAGAAGGTGGGGAGTAAGGAGGTGAGGCAGAACGAGAAGATGCCTGCTTGCAGCCAACCGTCTTGAGAATGTATTTCAACTGATCAACCCATCACACGCTCCCACCTATCAATTCATACCCACCCACTTCCATCCCCAAAACCATACCCCATGCCCACCGGATTACACTGTACCCCACTGCACTTCATCTCACCTGCACGAGCTGCGGGCCTGCCAGCTTAAGGAACGTGGCGTTGGTCTGAGCAGCACACGCCCTGGCAATGAGCGTCTTTCCGGAGACTTGAGGGGGCATACAGAAGCACTCCCCCTAGCACACCCATGCCCACTGGATTCCACCATATCCCACCGCACTCCACTCCACCTCACCTGAACCAGCTGCGGTCCAGCCAGCTTAAGGAAGGTGGCGTTGGTCTGAGCGGCACACGCCCTCGCAATGAGCGTCTTGCCGGTGCCGGGAGGGCCGTACAGCAGTACCCCCTTGGGCGGCTTGATGCCTAGTGACACAAAGTGCTCCTTGTGCGTCATCGGCAGTACCACTGCCTCCACCAGCTTTTGGATCTGTGTACGTGGCACAAGAGACAGGAGAAGGAGGGATAAGAGTAGGCAGGGAGGGAGGTGAGTGGGGAGGGCCATACAGCAGCACTCCCTTCAGTTGGCTTGATGCCCAGCGACGCAAACCGCGTTCCTAATGGGTCATGGGCGGCACAGCACCACTGCTTCCACCAGCTCTTGGATCTGCGCATGGGATGCAGTGCAAGAGGGAGAGGGAGGGGCGGAAGAGGGATGATAGGGACCAGAGGTTGATTGGGGGAGGTGCAGAAGGGAGGTGGGCAGAGGGAGCGGAGCGAGAAGGGAGAGAGGAGGCTTGATGCCTAGTGACGCGGACCGCTCCGTGTGTGTCATTGGTAGCACCACCACCTCCACCAGCTATTGACTCTGTTGACAGGGTGTAGGAGCGAGGGGGAGAGAGGAAGGGTAGGGACCAGAGGTTGAAGGGTGAGGGGCATACAGCAGCACTCCCTTGGGCGGCTTGATGCACAGCAGCGAGGCAAGCCGCTCCCTTGGCAAACTGAAATGGTGAAAGAGTGAAACAATGCTATGGTTTGACTATTAGGAGATGGGTACAATATACAGAAGTTGTGTACCCTATGGAGAGCAACTCACTACAGCCTAACAACCACATATAACATATGACATTTTCGGCCTACCCCAAAACCAATCTAGGGGCCTGTTCTCTACTCATTAACACATTGAGCAGCACACGTATCACTTTCAATGAGCTACTTATTCGCATCCTGAGAGTGATACGTGTCCTGATCAGGGCGATGGTGTCACCAAACAGCAATGTCAGGCTTGTTCAACGCTACGCTACCCGGAGCTACATTCCAGCTGTGCAGCTACGTTCTTCACGGCAGCTTCCACGTCGGCAACTTTGGGAACATCAACCTCAATGGTCACGTTGGAGTAGCAGCACCACCGGATGATACTTATTGTGAGGCCAACGAGGAACAACAGAATGGAGATGGCAATGAGCAGCCACTTCCACCACACCAGAGGAGGGCATGACGGACTGCATTGGCAACCAGTGTACACTTTAACTGGTGGAGGTTCATGCAAGAGGCGAAAAGGAGGAAAAACAGGAGAATTTCGAACGAAAAGTGAGTGTGTGTTTGTTTTTTTAATTTTTTATTTAAGATGCCACGCTGTATCGAGCAGTTGGGTGCAAGCAGCATAAATGGGTCACCACAGGCCTCAATCAACGCCCACTACCAGAAGTGAACTTATGTGATACGAACCAGTATCGCCAATTTGCTTACCCGATGACAGATCTAGAAGGAAGGATTAAGAAAGACCAGGGCTTTATCTAGACGCACCAGTGGAACCAGTGGTGGCGTTGGTCACATCAGCCCAACTTGGAATAAAGTTGACCTTGCAGCTGCCTCTTGAGCCCTCGCACACCTGCAGTGCGTTCATTTCGAAAATCGATTGCCGTGTCATGCAATGTTGGTGATGTGGTTGATGAGGTCCATAGAGGTCCAGTGCGGTCCATATGCATGCATGGAAAGAATAGGGGTAATGCGAAAGGGGGAGGAGCAATAAGGCGATCGGAAGTTGCGTTGAGAAAAGAGCAAAGATGTATGAGCAATTCACGCCTCTTCCGACGAAAGAATTGAAGCGATGCGCTTTGATTTTTCCACTTTCCACCACGAAGAGCTAACAGGTAGGTAGGTAAAAGGCAGGCAGGTGAAACAAGAACGCGCAAAAGAGTGTTCGTGGCACTTCTCATTCGGATCTGCGTCGTTTCGAAGTGACATACCAAGCATCCTTCGTAGCAGAACGCATCGACGCCGAAGGCGTTCGTGCACGGCGTAGCACACTCGAGGTACTTGAAGGTCTTAGAGGAAGCTGCTACGTTGCAGTGTGCTAAGACTGTGAAAATAACAGCAACCACTAATACTTGGCTCCTCATTGTGGGGGAAGTAAACGACATGACTTCGAGAGTGGCAGTTGGTGATCAATAAGACTGATGAAGTTGAATTGCTGGTACGCAGCCTGATAGACGAATTACTGAGAACGCTGAGAATAGTAAGAAAAGGCAAAGACCGCTTGTGGTAGACTCTGGTGATGATGCTACACATATAGCCAGTCCCAGCCTAGAGAACCTCGCCCTGATGGGTCTCTCCGAGTCGCAACGCAGCGGAGCCGCGGGCAGAAACAACGTCGAAACCAATAATGTCGGGCCCATGATGGGCCCTTCCTTGGCTAGCAAGTGTGCCGCATCTGTAGTCGCGTGCCGTGTGAGGCGCTTTTGGAAGCAGAATATATTTGTGTGTGTAAGGGCGGGAAGTGAGCGAGCTTGCTGAGGGTTCAAAGAGCTGGGCAGTGAGGAAGAAGTGTTTGTCAAGGGTGTGCAGCAACCTGCACGCGTACGCGCTAAAGAGCATTAGCTCTGGAAACACGCGATACATGCTGTTGGTTGGAACTTGGAAGCACCAGAGAGGCTACGTTGCGAGTGACTTGCACATCACAGTTGTGTCTCCATCCCAACCAATTACTCCACGTTATAACAGTTACAAAATGTTACGTTTGGATATATGCGGAAAAAGAACTCTCTAACCATCTTTAGCTCAGAGCGGAAAAAAAAATCAGATAGCGTAACAATTTATAGCACAATGTGTTGCATTTATGCATAGTAGTTGAAGCTCAAGGCCCAAATTGCAAGCCGCGGCCATCAAGATTACTAATATTGATCACCTCGGAAGTGGGTTACCTGATTGATTGACGCGGAAGTGTGAGCGACCGCAACACTAGTCCTCAATTGCAACGATTGGATGTGTGGTTCCGTGCGAAAGTTTGCAGCCTTGATTCAAACATCAGGCATATTCCCAGTACTCACCTTGAAGCAGCAGCCCCGCAATTTGGGACTTTTCTTGGTTTGTACTTGAATAATGCCATCATTAAAGTCCTCGTGGGTCACATGCAATCAAAGCCAAAACACAAGACCACTGGTTAGCAGCACCCCCTGTAGAAAATGATTTTAACGAATAAATAAATAAATAAACACGCCTCATGATCAGTGGCTGATAAGTAACACAACACCTCGGTGGCGTCTCTGCGCAGGGCAAGCATGCCAACCTCTAGACAGACGGCCTTGAGTTGAGCTCCATTGAGATCGTCTGTTGACTGCGCCAGCTCCTCAAAATTCACATTCGGGTGTACATTCATTTTCCGTGAGTGGGTCTGAGAGGGAAAGGAGAAGAGGGGATTAGAACCAGAAAGAAGTTTGAGATGTCTAGAAACCTGTCGACCGCGCCAGCTCCTCGAAATTGACATCCAGGTGAACTTTCATTTTCTGTGAGTGGAGTTGACAGCACGAGAGGGAGAGGCAGAAACGGGCACAGAAAGGTTATGACAAACAAAGAACGAGCTCGTCATCTTTTGCAAACGGATCTGACATTAACGAACGAGCCCCGGCCACCTCTATGGGACTGGAGCATGGGAGCCCTTGCAGTCGCCTCACCTGCCGTATCCGAGCCCGGGCTTTCTCCCTAGGGTGTGGGAAGTTGGAAACCCATTAATTCCATTGATTGTCTCACCTGTCCGTGAGCTCCCTTCACCTGCAGCAAGCATGAGAGCCCTTGCACGCGCCTCACCTGCAGGATGCGAGCCCGAGCCTCCTCGGTGGGATGTGGGATGTGTGATCTTCCTGTCCAGCCGCCCCGAGCGCATGAGGGCGGGGTCGAGGATGTCGGCTCTGTTGGTGGCTGCCACCACCTGACACGGTGTGAGTGGGGTGAGAGGTGAGAGGGCAGGAAGGGCGAGTCGCCCCGAGCGCATGAGAGCCGGGTCCAGGATGTCAGCTCGGTTCGTGGCTGCCACGACCTGACAGGGCGTGAATGGGGTAAAAAGGTGAACGAGGAGAGAGGTGAAAGGGCAGGATGGGCGAGCCGCCCCGAGCGCATGAGAGCCAGGTCCAGGATGTCAGCTCTGTTCGTGGCTGCTACGACCTGATGGTATGAGAATGCCATATCCATGGGAGCACGGAAAAGGCGCACAGGGCAGGAACTGTTGCGAGGTGCCCTCAAATTCAAACGCCCCGTGTCTGCTCGGGTCATGACTACCATCGGTTGAATACCACGAGTGGATGAGCACAGGAGCATGTACAAGGGCAGAAAGGCTCAGTCAGTTTGGCAGAGGAGCGACGGCAGATGGAGAGGTATGGTGAGGTGAGGAGGTGAAGAAGCTGAAATGGCACTTGAGCAGGGAGCACAGTGCCGAGCATCACTATCTGTGTGGCTGGCTTGTCGTCTCACCTTGATTCTGCCGTCACTACTGAAGCCATCCAGCTGACTCAGCAGCTCCAGCATCGTTCTCTGCACCTCGCGGTCCCCACTCACTTCACTGCCAACGATTAGGGTTCGAAAAGAGGGAGGAAAGATAGGGGAAGATGTGCAAGATGGGGAAGATGTGCAAGATGGGGAAGATGTGCAAGATGGGGAAGTTGTGGAAGATGGGAAGATGTGGAAGATGGGAAGATGTGCAAGATGTGGAAGATGTGCAAGATGGGGAAGGTGTGGAAGATGGGGAAAATCTTATGTCAAAACTTTTGGTGCCAATGGCATCAGTTCCATCCATGAAGACGATGCACGGCAAGCTGCACGCATGTACAAACAAAACGGTCGTAACCGTGCTTGAGGAGACAGAAACGAGTTTCTGTTCCAGAGGAGAGATCAAAGAAGATGATGCACGGCAAGCTGCACACGAGAGAAGAGGGGGTGGAGGGGGACGAGAGCGGCTTCATGCCCAGCGAGGCAAACACCACCACATGCAAAGCGCTCCTTGTGCGTCATTGGCAGCACCACTGCTTCCACTAGTTCTTGAATCTGAGAGAGAGGAGGGGGGAGGTTGGGGGGACGAGAGCGGCTTCATGCCCAGCGAGGCAAACACCACCACATGCAAAGCGTTCCTTGTGCGTCATTGGCAGCACCACTGCTTCCAAAAGCTCTTGAATCTGCACACGGGGTTCGGGAGGGAGGGACCAAAGTATTTATGCCGGGGGCTGTACAGACTATCATAATGCGGGGAAGATGGGGCCTCGTCGTAGGGTTAGTGCTGCAACGGAAGTGGATTCGCCACGTGGCTTTAAATTGATGTCGGATGCACGTTCAGTAGATTCGAGACAGGATCGACCCATGTCCAGTTTGAGCGATGGTCGACGAAATCCGAGCAGCGTCGCAGATCGTCGCCGAGCCGGTCGCATTGTGCTCGCGACAGCGGCAGCGTCGCGGGTAGCCATGCTGATACTCTTCTTCGCATTTGACGCGATTTTAGAAGACTACGACACGTCAGCACGCATCTATTCCCCGTGTCATCCACGCCACGTGTCACTCGTCTCCCATCGAGCCTCGGACCCCGTGAACCCGTGGACGAGTCAGCTCGCGTAGCATGGCCCGTGTATGAGTTGTGCTGCGCTCTGGGAATGGATATGATCGCGAAACTTCTCGCGGATCTGCTCGCGAAACTTCGCGCGGATCGGCTCGCGGAACAGGCGGCGATTTTGGTGCGCTACGGGCAGGAAAAACGCAGAAAAACCGGCAGCACCCACTTCGAAACCAACAATAATGGGTCCATGACGGGTCCTTTCTTGCGTAGCAGTAGTAGCCTCTGTCTGCAGCTTCCGCAATTACGTGTGCCGGTGCCGTGTAAACGCGCTATTCGAAGCAAACACGAGTGGTGCAATTAACTGTGCGTATAAAGGGAAATCAGTGAGTGAGCTTGCAGGGCTCGGAGCTGAAGGTTCTCGAAGGTATGAAATGAGATAGCACGTGTACGCGCTAAGGAGCAATAGCTCTGGAAAGAAGCGCTATTAGGACAAACCGATGATGCTCATTGCACAATAGAGATATCATCGGTTGTCAATCAATCACCCTAAGCCAGTAATCACTTACAACGCTGCTGAGATATTCCGGACCAGTAATAATCCTTTGCGGAGAACCAATGCGAATAACCCTTTCTTGCAGAATGATAAATTTCAACCAGTGACGTACATGGCACAAAGTGGCAACCCTTTGCAGGCTCCAACAAGTACAGAAGGGCATTCATACAAATTGCAGAAATCTCATGGCTCTGACATAGACACTTGCTTCCAGGAAGATGGTGTCACCAAACAGCTATGTCAGGGTTTCCAACGTCAGCAGGTTTGGGACAAACAGAATGGCGCTGACAACGAGCAGCCAGCTCCACCATGTAAGATGTGTTGTAGAGATCCCTCCAGCATGTTTGGGAGGACAAACAGAACGGCAGTCGTTACCATTGTACACTGTACCTGTTACGATGCATTAGGCAGACGGGAGAAGAACAGGAGAAGAACAGGGAATGTCAAACGCAAAGTGAGTGTGTTGGGTGCAAGCAGCGGGTCACCAGATGTCTCAGCCAATGCACACCGTAAGTGAATCGATGCGATCACAAGCCAGAATCACCCATTCCTAACCAGCAACAAATCGAGAAAAAAAGATGAGAGTAAGCAGGGCTCTAGCTAGACTCACCATTGGTCTCCCAATTGGGCTGAAAGATATAAGTGCAGCCACCAGTAAGGCCGGACGCGCACAGCTGCAGTGAACGAGTTTTACAACCAGTTGAAGCGTCAGGTGATGTGGTCAGATGAGATCCATCGAGGTCCAATGCGGTCCATATACATGCGGAAGAAAGGGGTGTGGCGAAGGGAGGAGGAATAAGGAAATCGGAAGTTGCATTTCGAGCAGAGAGCAGAGGGAGGAGCAGAAAGCCAAGGCGCCATTCGAGCCATTTCCAACCAAGGCGCCAGAAACGCCAAGTTTCGGTTTCTCCACCTTTTCACCTAGAAGATTAAGTAACCCCGCGACTTGGGCGATGATCCATCTGGCAGGTGAAACACGAACGCGCAATGCTCTTGCGAATCTGAATCGTTACAGAGTTACATACCCCGCAATCAAAGGCGCATTTTTCGTCGGACACGTTCTGTGGGTTCTTGCACAGCGTGACACAGTCGATCTGGGTGGCCGCGGCGGCTACTATGCCGCAGCGTGCGAAGACTGTGAAAATAGCAGCAACCATTACTAGGCTCCTCATTGTGGGGGAAACAAACGACATGACTTCGAGAGGTGCAGTTGAGGTATATGAGAACGCCGCTGAACGAATAGACAATGACCACTACTAGTAGACTCCGGTATTTATGCTATGGGCAGTCCCAGCCGAGGAAACCTCGCGCGGGCGAACCGCGTCGCGACGCAGGGGAATCGCGAGCAGGAACAACAGACTCGGCGCCCTCATCCTTAGAATGATTTCAGGAAAATCCTCCTCCTGATCCTTATCCTTATCCTAATCGCCCATCGAACCCGGACGCGTCAGAACGAATAACGCCTCGCTACTACCCCATTGGTCAAAACGAAGGGTATCTTTGGGGCGCAGCGGAGGCCCCTCAACGCTTACGTGTAAGCCCCACAGCCCCACAGGCGTTACAACGAATCAGCTTGCATGGTGCGGCCGGTATGTGAGGTGTGCAGCCCTCTGGGGTAAACATGCTTGCGGTACAGGTGGCGACGCAAGTGCGCTGCGGGCAGAATGAAACGAAGAAAAATCGGCAGCGCCCACGTTCCTACGCCAACAATGGGTGATCCATAATCGGTGCTTGCTTGGTTACTAGCAGTTAGTCATCACTCGCCGAAATCCGGATTGCTACAGTAGTCTTTGTCTCCCGCATCTGTAGTCGCGGTGTGACGCGTGTACTGAGGCCATTCGCGTAAAAGGCGCAAGCGAATAAGCGGCGAGTGAGCTCGTTTAGGGTTCAGAGCTGAGGGTACTCGGGGGTAAGAGATGCAAGCTGACGCGCTAAGGAGCATTACCTCTAAAAACAAGCGCTATAGTGTGTAGCATGATATTTCAACCATTTACCAATATTATGTCAGTAGATTTCAGGTAAGGACATCATCTCACAATGCCTGAGCACACGTAGTGGGGGCAGGAATCTCATGGAGCTGACATATATATGATGCACTGCAACTGAGAGGCTGTGACCGACGCTACCATGACAACAAAAAACACGGTGTTTTGTGAAGATGAAGTTGAAATATGTTTCAGTTTCAAATAATGTAACAACTGAAAGATCACGTGTGTTCCATTTACCTATGCATAGTAGTTAAGGCTAGCCTTTTTCTTGGCCCGCACCTGAATAATTCCTTCATTGAAATCCTCATGTGTCACCAGCAACCAACACAAGACCCACAAGTTAGCAAAGCATGCCCTGCTAAAATAAGGTGTCATGAGCCAAGTAGGATAAAGTGACACAAGAAACGTAAAAAAACCACATTCATCATCATAATTACCTCAGTGGCATCGCGGCGCAGGGCAAGCATGACGGCCTCCACACACACCGCCTTGAGTTGAGCTCCGTTGAAATCGTCTGTTGACCGCACCAGCTCCTCGAGGGATATGGCTCAGAAGACTCACCTCAGTGGCGTCTCGGCGCAGGGCAAGCATGCCAGCCTCTACACAGACGGCGTTAAGTTGAGCTCCATTGGAATCATCTGTTGACCGCGCCAGCTCCTCGAGATTCACATCCGGGTGTACGCTAATTTTCCGTGAATGGATCTGACAACGAGTGAGGGACAGGGGATCAGGGACAGAGGTAGGGGGTTGACAATGGTAGCTCCTCCCAATACAGATCTGGGTGTACGTAAATTTTCCGCGAGTGGATCTGATAGGAAAAAATGCAGAGAAAGCAGAGAAACTATATGACTTCAAACTATGGATAGACCAAAACCCAAGCTTCTCGCTCTCTGCAGCATGCACGCAAGCAAGCCTAGCAGTCCCATGCACTCTTTCTCACCTGGAGAGCACAAACGGTAGTCCTTTCACTCACCTCACCTACAGGACTCAAGCCCGGGATATGGGTAACCACTGACCCCATGCCTTGCCTCAACTGTCCTTGCACTCAGCTCACCTGCAGCTCTAGCAAGCACGGGAGCCCTCGCACTCCTCACCTGCAGGATGCTATCCCGGGCCTCCTCTGTGATCTGTGAGAATTCATCAATGCTACGGCTTCTTTCACCTTCTTTCCTTGCACTCACCTCACCTATCGCTCACACACAAGCATGGGAGTTCCTGCACTCGCATCACCTGTAGAATCCGAGCCCGGGCCTCCTCGGTGGGGTGCGGGAACTCATTGATCGCACGGCAAATATAAACCGCACCCCACAGCAAGGCACTCTCACCTGCAGCGTACAACCACACAAGCATGGGAGTCCCTGCACTCCTCCTCACCTGCAAGGCAGAAGGGCTCAGTCAATGTGGGGAGAGGAGCGAAGATGGTAAAGAAGGCAGGGAGGTGGTGAGGCAGGAACAGCACTTGAATAAAGAATATAAGCAAACTCACTACAGCCTAACAACCACATGTAACTTATGACATTTTCAGCCTACAAAACCAATGTAGGGGCCTGTTCTCTACTCATCAACACATCTACTTATCTAAAGGACGTATAAGCTACCACGTATTTGCATCCTGTGAGCAGGGTGAGGGTGTCACCAAATAGCAATGTCAGGCTTGTAACTTGTTCAACGTTACGCTACCCGGAGCTACATTCCATCTGTACAGCTACGTTTTTCACAGCAGCTTCCACGTCAGCAGCCTTGGGAACATCAACCTCAACGGTCACATTGGAGTAGCAGCACCAGCGGATGATACTTATTGTGAGGCCGACGAGGAACACCAGAATGGAGATGGCAATGAGTAGCCACTTCCACCACACAAGAGGAGGGCATGACATAGGGCATTGGTAACCAGTGTACACTTTACCTGGTGGTGGTTCATCATACAAGAGGCGAAACGGAGGAGACAGAAGAATATCGGACAAAAAATGAGTGATTTTTTTTTAATTTATTATTAAAAAGCCATGCCGTATAAAGCGGTTGGGTGCAAGCAGCATAAATGGGTCACCACAGGCCTCAATCAACGCCCACTACCAGAAGTGAATTCATGTGATACAAGTCAGTATCACCAGTTCTTCTTACCCAATGACAGATCTAAATAGAGGGATTAAGAAAGACGTACCAGTGAAACCAGTGGTGGCGTTGGTCACATCAGCCCAACTTGGCTGAAAGTTGAACCTGCAGCTGCCTTTTGAGGTCACGCACGACTGCAGTGCGTAAATTTTGAAAATCAATTGCCGTGTCATGCAATGTTGGTGATGAGGTTGATGAGGTCCATAGGGGTCCAGTGCGGTCCATATGCATGGAAAGAAGAGGGGTAATGCGAAGGGGGGAGGAGCAAAAAGGCAATCCGAAGTTGCGCAAAGAGGAATGAGCAATTCACGCCTCTTCCGACGAAAGAATTGAAGCGATGCGCTTTAATTTTTCCACTTTCCGCCACGAAGAGCTAACAGGTAGGTAGGTAAAAGACGGGCAGGTGAAACAAGAAAGCGCAGAGGAGTGTTCGTGGCAATTCTCATACAAATCTGCGTCGATTCGAAGTGACATACCGCGCATTGTTCGTAGCAGGCCGGAACGAAGCCGGAGGCGTTCGTACACGGCGTATTACAGTCGTAGTACGTAACGGTCTTCTTAGAGGTCTTAGCGGAATCTGCTACACTGCAGTGAGCCAAGACTGTGAAAATAGCAGCAAGCACTATTACTTGGCTCCTCATTGTGGGGGGAGTAAACGACATGACTTCGAGAGTGGCGGTTGGTGATCAATAAGTCTGATAAAGGTTGAATTGCTGGTACGCAGCCTGATAGATGAATTACTGAGAATGCTGAGAATAATAAGAAAAGGCAAAGACCGCTTGTGGTAGACTCCGGGGTTGATGCTAGATATACAGCCAGTCCCAGCCTACTAGAGAGCCTCGACCTCATGGGTCTCTCCGCGTCGCGACGCAGCGGAGCCGCGGGTAGGAACTACGAAATCGGCGCTCACCTCATCCTTACGAAAGACCCCTCATGCTTATCCTCCCGTGGAGCGTCGGACGCGCTATGAACGAGTCAGCTTGCGCAGTGTGGCCCGTTTGGCGGGCAGGAGAAACACACAGAAAATACGGCTGGACCAATGCCGAAACCAATAATGACGGGTCCATAATGGGCCCTTCGTTGGTTAGCAGGTGTAGCCTCTGCCTGCCGCATCTATAATTGCGTGCCGTGTGAGGCGCTTTTCCAAGCAGAAATAATTGTGTGTGTGAAAGGGCGGGAAGTGAGCGAGCTTGGTGAGGGTTCAAGAGCAGGACGGTGAGGGTGGTGAAGGTGCTTGTCAAAGGTTTAATTTGAAACCACCTGCACGTGTACGCGCTAAAGAGTATTAGCGTGCAGGTTGTTTCTATACATGCGATACATCTGTTGGTTGGAATGGAACTTGGAAGCACCAGTAAGGCTACGCTGTGGGTGACTTGCACGTCACGGTTCTGTCTCCATCGCGTCCCAGCATTCCGCAGCGAAAGTCGCAATGCCTTCGCTCTGTGATTACAGCACCGTTATAACAGTTACAAAATGTTACATTTCGATATATGCGGGAAAAGTACTCTCTTACCCACACTAGCTGAGAGCAGAAACAAGTTTCAGATAGCGTAACAATTGATAGCACAATGTGTTCCATTTATGCATAGTAGTTCAGGCTAGCCTTTTTCTTGGCTTGCACTTGAATAATTCCCTCATTGAAATCCTCATGCGTCACCTGCAATCAAAGCCAACGGACAAGACCCACTGGTTAGCAGCACCCCGTGTAGAAAATCATTATAATGAATGAAATGAATAAATAAACTCGCCGCATGTACAGTGGCTGATAGCACAAGGGATGTACACAAGAAAACTTTGGTCAGAATAGGTAATCACCTCGGTGGCATCGCGGCGCAGGGCAAGCATGCCAGCCTCTACACAGACCGCCTTGAGTTGAGCTCCGTTGAAATCGTCTGTTGACCGCGCCAGCTCCTCGAAATTCACTCCGGGTGTACGTTCATTTTCCGTGAGTGGATCTGACAATGAGGGAGGGCGGGCGGGAGGGCAGGAGGGAGGGAGGAGGGGAGAAGCGATTAGAAGCAGATAGGAGTTTGAGTAGAGATGTCTCGAAACCTGTTGGCCAAACTAGCTCTTCGAAATTCACCCTTCTGGGTGAAGGTTCATTTTCCGTGAGTGGATCTGACAGGGAGGGGAGGGAGAGGCAAGCAGACACAGATATGAGATGTGAGACGTCTTGACCATTTTCACCACACCAGCTATTGAAGATTCAGATGCGCGTGTACATTGACCTTCCGCAAATAGAGCTGATAGAATAAAACGAGGAGCCCTCACCTGCAGGATGCAAGCCCGCGCCTCCTCGGTGGGGTGAGGGAACTCAATCTTCCTGTCCAGCCGCCCCGAGCGCATGAGAGCCGGGTCGAGGATGTCGGCCCGGTTGGTGGCTGCCACGACCTGGTGGAGAAACAGTGTCAATGGGGGTCAATGGGGTAGGGAGTGGGAGAGGCGAGCAGCAGAAATGCCTGAGTCATCCCGAGCGCATGAGAGCCGGGTCGAGGATGTCGGCCCGGTTGGTGGCTGCCACGACCTGGTGGAGAAACGGTGTCAATGGGGGTCAATGGGGTAGGGAGTGGGAGAGGCGAGCAGCAGAAATGCCTGAGTCATCCCGAGCGCATGAGAGCCGGGTCGAGAATGTCAGCCCGGTTGGTGGCTGCCACGACCTGGTGGCGTGAGAATGTCATATATATGAGAGCATGGAAAAGGGGGACAGGGCAGGAACAGTTGCAAGGTGCCTCAATTCCAAACGCTGCTCGGGTCATGACTACCATCGGTTGAAGACCACGAGTGGATGAGCACAGGAGCATGTACAAGGGCAGAAAGGCTCAGTCGGTTTGGCAGAGGAGCGACAGCAGATGGAGAGGTATGGGGAGGTGATGAGAGAGCAGAGAGCACAGCAATTGAGCAAGCATGACCATCTGTGTGATTGGCTTGCCGTCTCATCTTGATTCTGTCGTCACTGCTGAAGCCATCCCTCTGACTCAGCAGCTCCATCTCACCATAATATGTCTTGAGGGCCATATGACATTTATTCTGTCTTCACGGACTTCTCACCTTAATTCTGTCGTCACTGCTGAAACCATCCAGCTGACTCAGCAGCTCCAGCATCGTTCGCTGCACCTCACGATCCCCACTCACTTCACTGCCGGTATTTGGGATCCAGGGCGAGGGCGAGTGGGAGATTTGAAATGAGAGCAGAGGGTGGGAAGGGGGGAAATATGGGGAGTGGGCATAGAGCAAGTGGGTCAAACAGTTCCAAACAGCATCGCCTACTGCGACTCACCCAATGCATGAGCAGGGTGTTCCAGAGCATCAGCAAACTGAATGAAAAGTGCACCCTATGCCAGTATTCAAATGTGTCAATGGCACCCACCTAACAGATCGTTTGGTGCCGATGGCGTCGATTTCATCAATGAAGATGATGCACGGCGACTTCTCCTTTGCCAGCTGAAACTCATCCCGCACTAGCTTCGCCCCGTCTCCTACGAACATCTGGAGAACGGGGTTGGAGAAGGTAGGGGAGGTAAGGGGGGTGGGGAAGGGAGGAGTGGGAAGGCAGGGAAATCGATCTGCTTGCCCAGCTGAAACACGTCCCGCACTAGCTTCGCCCTGTCTCCTATGAACATCCGTGAGGGACGACAAGGGGGTAGGCAAGGTATAAGAGGTGGTGAGGTGGGGTCTACTTCTCTCTGGTCAGCTGAAATGCATCACACCAGATTCGCCCCGTCGCCTATGAACATTTCGAGAAAAGGGGTGGGAGGAAAGGAGGTGGGTAGGGAGATGAAGCAGTGGGGAATAAGGAGGTGGGAGAAGGTGGGGAGTAAGGAGGTGAGGCAGAACGAGAAGATGCCTGCTTGCAGCCAACCGTCTTGAGAATGTATTTCAACTGATCAACCCATCACACGCTCCCACCTATCAATTCATACCCACCCACTTCCATCCCCAAAACCATACCCCATGCCCACCGGATTACACTGTACCCCACTGCACTTCATCTCACCTGCACGAGCTGCGGGCCTGCCAGCTTAAGGAACGTGGCGTTGGTCTGAGCAGCACACGCCCTGGCAATGAGCGTCTTTCCGGAGACTTGAGGGGGCATACAGAAGCACTCCCCCTAGCACACCCATGCCCACTGGATTCCACCATATCCCACCGCACTCCACTCCACCTCACCTGAACCAGCTGCGGTCCAGCCAGCTTAAGGAAGGTGGCGTTGGTCTGAGCGGCACACGCCCTCGCAATGAGCGTCTTGCCGGTGCCGGGAGGGCCGTACAGCAGTACCCCCTTGGGCGGCTTGATGCCTAGTGACACAAAGTGCTCCTTGTGCGTCATCGGCAGTACCACTGCCTCCACCAGCTTTTGGATCTGTGTACGTGGCACAAGAGACAGGAGAAGGAGGGATAAGAGTAGGCAGGGAGGGAGGTGAGTGGGGAGGGCCATACAGCAGCACTCCCTTCAGTTGGCTTGATGCCCAGCGACGCAAACCGCGTTCCTAATGGGTCATGGGCGGCACAGCACCACTGCTTCCACCAGCTCTTGGATCTGCGCATGGGATGCAGTGCAAGAGGGAGAGGGAGGGGCGGAAGAGGGATGATAGGGACCAGAGGTTGATTGGGGGAGGTGCAGAAGGGAGGTGGGCAGAGGGAGCGGAGCGAGAAGGGAGAGAGGAGGCTTGATGCCTAGTGACGCGGACCGCTCCGTGTGTGTCATTGGTAGCACCACCACCTCCACCAGCTATTGACTCTGTTGACAGGGTGTAGGAGCGAGGGGGAGAGAGGAAGGGTAGGGACCAGAGGTTGAAGGGTGAGGGGCATACAGCAGCACTCCCTTGGGCGGCTTGATGCACAGCAGCGAGGCAAGCCGCTCCCTTGGCAAACTGAAATGGTGAAAGAGTGAAACAATGCTATGGTTTGACTATTAGGAGATGGGTACAATATACAGAAGTTGTGTACCCTATGGAGAGCAACTCACTACAGCCTAACAACCACATATAACATATGACATTTTCGGCCTACCCCAAAACCAATCTAGGGGCCTGTTCTCTACTCATTAACACATTGAGCAGCACACGTATCACTTTCAATGAGCTACTTATTCGCATCCTGAGAGTGATACGTGTCCTGATCAGGGCGATGGTGTCACCAAACAGCAATGTCAGGCTTGTTCAACGCTACGCTACCCGGAGCTACATTCCAGCTGTGCAGCTACGTTCTTCACGGCAGCTTCCACGTCGGCAACTTTGGGAACATCAACCTCAATGGTCACGTTGGAGTAGCAGCACCACCGGATGATACTTATTGTGAGGCCAACGAGGAACAACAGAATGGAGATGGCAATGAGCAGCCACTTCCACCACACCAGAGGAGGGCATGACGGACTGCATTGGCAACCAGTGTACACTTTAACTGGTGGAGGTTCATGCAAGAGGCGAAAAGGAGGAAAAACAGGAGAATTTCGAACGAAAAGTGAGTGTGTGTTTGTTTTTTTAATTTTTTATTTAAGATGCCACGCTGTATCGAGCAGTTGGGTGCAAGCAGCATAAATGGGTCACCACAGGCCTCAATCAACGCCCACTACCAGAAGTGAACTTATGTGATACGAACCAGTATCGCCAATTTGCTTACCCGATGACAGATCTAGAAGGAAGGATTAAGAAAGACCAGGGCTTTATCTAGACGCACCAGTGGAACCAGTGGTGGCGTTGGTCACATCAGCCCAACTTGGAATAAAGTTGACCTTGCAGCTGCCTCTTGAGCCCTCGCACACCTGCAGTGCGTTCATTTCGAAAATCGATTGCCGTGTCATGCAATGTTGGTGATGTGGTTGATGAGGTCCATAGAGGTCCAGTGCGGTCCATATGCATGCATGGAAAGAATAGGGGTAATGCGAAAGGGGGAGGAGCAATAAGGCGATCGGAAGTTGCGTTGAGAAAAGAGCAAAGATGTATGAGCAATTCACGCCTCTTCCGACGAAATAATTGAAGCGATGCGCTTTGATTTTTCCACTTTCCACCACGAAGAGCTAACAGGTAGGTAGGTAAAAGGCAGGCAGGTGAAACAAGAACGCGCAAAAGAGTGTTCGTGGCACTTCTCATTCGGATCTGCGTCGTTTCGAAGTGACATACCAAGCATCCTTCGTAGCAGAACGCATCGACGCCGAAGGCGTTCGTGCACGGCGTAGCACACTCGAGGTACTTGAAGGTCTTAGAGGAAGCTGCTACGTTGCAGTGTGCTAAGACTGTGAAAATAACAGCAACCACTAATACTTGGCTCCTCATTGTGGGGGAAGTAAACGACATGACTTCGAGAGTGGCAGTTGGTGATCAATAAGACTGATGAAGTTGAATTGCTGGTACGCAGCCTGATAGACGAATTACTGAGAACGCTGAGAATAGTAAGAAAAGGCAAAGACCGCTTGTGGTAGACTCTGGTGATGATGCTACACATATAGCCAGTCCCAGCCTAGAGAACCTCGCCCTGATGGGTCTCTCCGAGTCGCAACGCAGCGGAGCCGCGGGCAGAAACAACGTCGAAACCAATAATGTCGGGCCCATGATGGGCCCTTCCTTGGCTAGCAAGTGTGCCGCATCTGTAGTCGCGTGCCGTGTGAGGCGCTTTTGGAAGCAGAATATATTTGTGTGTGTAAGGGCGGGAAGTGAGCGAGCTTGCTGAGGGTTCAAAGAGCTGGGCAGTGAGGAAGAAGTGTTTGTCAAGGGTGTGCAGCAACCTGCACGCGTACGCGCTAAAGAGCATTAGCTCTGGAAACACGCGATACATGCTGTTGGTTGGAACTTGGAAGCACCAGAGAGGCTACGTTGCGAGTGACTTGCACATCACAGTTGTGTCTCCATCCCAACCAATTACTCCACGTTATAACAGTTACAAAATGTTACGTTTGGATATATGCGGAAAAAGAACTCTCTAACCATCTTTAGCTCAGAGCGGAAAAAAAAATCAGATAGCGTAACAATTTATAGCACAATGTGTTGCATTTATGCATAGTAGTTGAAGCTCAAGGCCCAAATTGCAAGCCGCGGCCATCAAGATTACTAATATTGATCACCTCGGAAGTGGGTTACCTGATTGATTGACGCGGAAGTGTGAGCGACCGCAACACTAGTCCTCAATTGCAACGATTGGATGTGTGGTTCCGTGCGAAAGTTTGCAGCCTTGATTCAAACATCAGGCATATTCCCAGTACTCACCTTGAAGCAGCAGCCCCGCAATTTGGGACTTTTCTTGGTTTGTACTTGAATAATGCCATCATTAAAGTCCTCGTGGGTCACATGCAATCAAAGCCAAAACACAAGACCACTGGTTAGCAGCACCCCCTGTAGAAAATGATTTTAACGAATAAATAAATAAATAAACACGCCTCATGATCAGTGGCTGATAAGTAACACAACACCTCGGTGGCGTCTCTGCGCAGGGCAAGCATGCCAACCTCTAGACAGACGGCCTTGAGTTGAGCTCCATTGAGATCGTCTGTTGACTGCGCCAGCTCCTCAAAATTCACATTCGGGTGTACATTCATTTTCCGTGAGTGGGTCTGAGAGGGAAAGGAGAAGAGGGGATTAGAACCAGAAAGAAGTTTGAGATGTCTAGAAACCTGTCGACCGCGCCAGCTCCTCGAAATTGACATCCAGGTGAACTTTCATTTTCTGTGAGTGGAGTTGACAGCACGAGAGGGAGAGGCAGAAACGGGCACAGAAAGGTTATGACAAACAAAGAACGAGCTCGTCATCTTTTGCAAACGGATCTGACATTAACGAACGAGCCCCGGCCACCTCTATGGGACTGGAGCATGGGAGCCCTTGCAGTCGCCTCACCTGCCGTATCCGAGCCCGGGCTTTCTCCCTAGGGTGTGGGAAGTTGGAAACCCATTAATTCCATTGATTGTCTCACCTGTCCGTGAGCTCCCTTCACCTGCAGCAAGCATGAGAGCCCTTGCACGCGCCTCACCTGCAGGATGCGAGCCCGAGCCTCCTCGGTGGGATGTGGGATGTGTGATCTTCCTGTCCAGCCGCCCCGAGCGCATGAGGGCGGGGTCGAGGATGTCGGCTCTGTTGGTGGCTGCCACCACCTGACACGGTGTGAGTGGGGTGAGAGGTGAGAGGGCAGGAAGGGCGAGTCGCCCCGAGCGCATGAGAGCCGGGTCCAGGAAGTCAGCTCGGTTGGTGGCTGCCACCACCTGGTGCGACATGGGGCGAATGTGGGGGGGTGAAGGTGAGTGAAGGGGGTTGACTGGGGTGGGGTGTAGCGGCAGCAAGGCCTGAGCCGCCGTGAGCGCATGAGCGCCGGGTCAAAAAAGTTGTCTAGGTTTAGGGCTGCGACAACCTGATGGTACGAGTAAAACAGATTCATGTTGCGAATTCCTGCAGATTCCTGCATGGGAGACGGAACAAGGCAGGAAGTGTTGCGAGGTGCCTCAAATCTTAAGACACAGTGCTTGCTCAGGCCATGACAGCCATTGGCGAAACACAGAGTGTGGATGAGAAGAAGGGCAGGAGGGCTCAGTCAGTGTGGGGAGAGGAGCGAAAATGGTGAGGATGTGGAGAGGCTGGGAGGTGAGGAGGCAAAAATGGCACTTGACTAGAGAGCACAGCAGCCGAGCATGACCATCATGGGTGGCTGGCTAATTGTCTCACCTTATCTGTCATTGCTGCTTAAGCCAGCAGCTCCAGCATCATTCATTGGACAATTTTGACTTGACTGACCATCTCACCTTGATTCTGTCGTCACTGCTGAAGCCATCCAGCTGAATCACCAGCTCCAGCATCGTTCTCTGCACCTCACGGTCCCCACTCACTTCACTGCCAGCATTTAGGGTTTGAACTCAATGCGAGCCCGGGCCTCCTCGATGGGGGTGGCAACTCAATCTTCCTGTCCAGCCAACCCCAGCGCACGAGAGCCGGGTCCAAGATGTCAGCTCTGTTCGTGGCTCCCACCACCTGGTGGAGAAACAGGGAGAATGGGGGTGAAGGGGGTGGTGGGCCGAGAGGGAGGAGAGTGGCATCAAGGCACGAGCCGCCCCGAGCACATGAGAGCGGGGTCGAGGATGTCGGCTCGGTTGGTGGCTGCGACTAACTGGTGGGGACATGGGGTGAATGGGGGGAGGGGCAAGAGGGACGAGCAGCAGAAACGCTTGGTTTGGTGAGGACAGGCGAGCAGGTGGGGAGGGAGGGTGAGCTTGAGGAGTGGGGAGGTGTGGGTTGAAGGGATGAGGAGGCACGGATGGAGCTTGAGTGGAACGCACAAGTGAGAATGAAAAAAAAACAAAAAAAAAAAAACAAAAAAGTACGCATGAGATCTGAATGTGACAACTGACATTGTCATGTGTAGCTGGCTCCCCCACCTTGATTTTGTCATCACTGCTGAAACCATCCAGCTGACTCAACAGCTCCAACAATATTCATCGAACCATAACTTGTCTTGACCGTCAAGATCACCTTGATTCTGTCTTGATTGACCATCTCACCTTGATTCTGCCTTGACTGACCATCTCACCTAGATTCTGTCTTGACTGACCATCTCACCTTGATTCTGTCTTGATTGACCATCTCAACTTGATTCTGTCTTGACTGACCATCTCACCTTGATTCTGTCTTGACTGACCATCTCACCTTGATTCTGTCTTGACTGACCATCTCACCTTTCTGTCTTGATTGACCATCTCACCTTGATTCCGTCTTGACTGACCATCTCACCTTGATTCTGCCTTGACTGACCATCTCACCTTGATTCTGTCTTGACTGACCATCTCACCTTGATTCTGTCTTGACTGACCATCTCACCTTGATTCTGTCTTGATTGACCATCTCACCTTGATTCTGTCTTGATTGACCATCTCACCTTGATTCTGTCTTGACTGACAATCTCACCTAGATTCTGCCTTGACTGACCATCTCACCTTGATTCTGTCTTGACTGACCATCTCACCTTGATTCTGTCTTAATTGACCATCTCACCTTGATTCTGCCTTGACTGACCATCTCACCTAGATTCTGTCTTGACTGACCATCTAACCTTGATTCTGTCTTGATTGACCATCTCACCTTGATTCTGTCTTGACTGACCATCTCACCTTGATTCTGTCTTGACTGACCATCTCACCTTGATTCTGTCTTAATTGACCATCTCACCTTGATTCTGCCTTGACTGACCATCTCACCTTGATTCTGTCTTGACTGACCATCTCACCTTGATTCTGTCTTGATTGACCATCTCACCTTGATTCTGTCTTGACTGACCATCTCACCTTGATTCTGCCTTGACTGACCATCTCACCTTGATTCTGTCTTGACTGACCATCTCACCTTGATTCTGTCTTAACTGACCATCTCACCTTGATTCTGTCTTGATTGACCATCTCACCTTGATTCTGTCTTGATTGACCATCTCACCTTGATTCTGTCTTGACTGACCATCTCACCTAGATTTTGCCTTGACTGACCATCTCACCTTGATTCTGTCTTGACTGACCATCTCACCTTGATTCTGTCTTGACTGACCATCTCACCTTGATTCTGTCTTGACTGACCATCTCACCTAGATTCTGTCTTGACTGACCATCTCACCTAGATTCTGTCTTGACTGACCATCTCACCTTGATTCTGTCTTGATTGACCATCTCACCTTGATTCTGTCTTGACTGACCATCTCACCTTGATTCTGTCTTGACTGACCATCTCACCTTGATTCTGTCTTGATTGACCATCTCACCTTGATTATGTCTTGATTGACGATCTCACCTTGATTCTGTCTTGACTGACCATCTCACCTAGATTCTGTCTTGACTGACCATCTCACCTTGATTCTGTCTTGACTGACCATGTCACCTAGATTCTCTCTTGACTAACCATCTCACCTTGATTCTGTCTTGATTGACCATCTCACCTTGATTCTGTCTTGACTGACCATCTCACCTAGATTCTGCCTTGACTGACCATCTCACCTTGATTCTGTCTTGACTGACCATCTCACCTTGATTCTGTCTTGATTGACCATCTCACCTTGATTCTGCCTTGACTGACCATCTCACCTAGATTCTGTCTTGACTGACCATCTCACCTTGATTCTGTCTTGATTGACCATCTCACCTTGATTCTGTCTTGACTGACCATCTCACCTTGATTCTGTCTTGACTGACCATCTCACCTTGATTCTGTCTTGACTGACCATCTCACCTTGATTCTGTCTTGATTGACCATCTCACCTTGATTATGTCTTGATTGACCATCTCACCTTGATTCTGTCTTGACTGACCATCTCACCTAGATTCTGTCTTGACTGACCATCTCACCTTGATTCTGTCTTGACTGACCATGTCACCTAGATTCTCTCTTGACTAACCATCTCACCTTGATTCTGTCTTGATTGACCATCTCACCTTGATTCTGCCTTGACTGACCATCTCACCTAGATTCTGCCTTGACTGACCATCTCACCTAGATTCTGTCTTGACTGACCATCTCACCTTGATTCTGTCTTGATTGACCATCTCACCTTGATTCTGTCTTGACTGACCATCTCACCTTGATTCTGTCTTGACTGACCATCTCACCTTGATTCTGTCTTGACTGACCATCTCACCTTTCTGTCTTGATTGACCATCTCACCTTGATTCTGTCTTGACTGACCATCTCACCTTGATTCTGTCTTGATTGACCATCTCACCTTGATTATGTCTTGACTGACCATCTCACCTTGATTCTGTCTTGATTGACCATGTCACCTAGATTCTCTCTTGACTGACACCTTGATTCTGTCTTGATTGACCATCTCACCTTGATTCTGTCTTGACTGACCATCTCACCTAGATTCTGTCTTGACTGACCATCTCACCTTGATTCTGTCTTGACTGACCATGTCACCTAGATTCTCTCTTGACTAACCATCTCACCTTGATTCTGTCTTGATTGACCATCTCACCTTGATTCTGCCTTGACTGACCATCTCACCTAGATTCTGCCTTGACTGACCATCTCACCTAGATTCTGTCTTGACTGACCATCTCACCTTGATTCTGTCTTGATTGACCATCTCCCCTTGATTCTGTCTTGACTGACCATCTCACCTTGATTCTGTCTTGACTGACCATCTCACCTTGATTCTGTCTTGACTGACCATCTCACCTTTCTGTCTTGATTGACCATCTCACCTTGATTCTGTCTTGACTGACCATCTCACCTTGATTCTGCCTTGACTGACCATCTCACCTTGATTCTGTCTTGACTGACCATCTCACCTTGATTCTGTCTTAATTGACCATCTCACCTTGATTCTGCCTTGACTGACCATCTCACCTTGATTCTGTCTTGACTGACCATCTCACCTTGATTCTGTCTTGATTGACCATCTCACCTTGATTCTGCCTTGACTGACCATCTCACCTAGATTCTGTCTTGACTGACCATCTCACCTTGATTCTGTCTTGATTGACCATCTCACCTTGATTCTGTCTTGACTGACCATCTCACCTTGATTCTGTCTTGACTGACCATCTCACCTTGATTCTGTCTTGACTGACCATCTCACCTTGATTCTGTCTTGACTGACCATCTCACCTTGATTCTGTCTTGATTGACCATCTCACCTTGATTATGTCTTGATTGACCATCTCACCTTGATTCTGTCTTGACTGACCATCTCACCTAGATTCTGTCTTGACTGACCATCTCACCTTGATTCTGTCTTGACTGACCATGTCACCTAGATTCTCTCTTGACTAACCATCTCACCTTGATTCTGTCTTGATTGACCATCTCACCTTGATTCTGTCTTGACTGACCATCTCACCTAGATTCTGCCTTGACTGACCATCTCACCTTGATTCTGTCTTGACTGACCATCTCACCTTGATTCTGTCTTGATTGACCATCTCACCTTGATTCTGCCTTGACTGACCATCTCACCTAGATTCTGTCTTGACTGACCATCTCACCTTGATTCTGTCTTGATTGACCATCTCACCTTGATTCTGTCTTGACTGACCATCTCACCTTGATTCTGTCTTGACTGACCATCTCACCTTGATTCTGTCTTGACTGACCATCTCACCTTGATTCTGTCTTGATTGACCATCTCACCTTGATTATGTCTTGATTGACCATCTCACCTTGATTCTGTCTTGACTGACCATCTCACCTAGATTCTGTCTTGACTGACCATCTCACCTTGATTCTGTCTTGACTGACCATGTCACCTAGATTCTCTCTTGACTAACCATCTCACCTTGATTCTGTCTTGATTGACCATCTCACCTTGATTCTGCCTTGACTGACCATCTCACCTAGATTCTGCCTTGACTGACCATCTCACCTAGATTCTGTCTTGACTGACCATCTCACCTTGATTCTGTCTTGATTGACCATCTCACCTTGATTCTGTCTTGACTGACCATCTCACCTTGATTCTGTCTTGACTGACCATCTCACCTTGATTCTGTCTTGACTGACCATCTCACCTTTCTGTCTTGATTGACCATCTCACCTTGATTCTGTCTTGACTGACCATCTCACCTTGATTCTGTCTTGATTGACCATCTCACCTTGATTATGTCTTGACTGACCATCTCACCTTGATTCTGTCTTGATTGACCATGTCACCTAGATTCTCTCTTGACTGACACCTTGATTCTGTCTTGATTGACCATCTCACCTTGATTCTGTCTTGACTGACCATCTCACCTAGATTCTGTCTTGACTGACCATCTCACCTTGATTCTGTCTTGACTGACCATGTCACCTAGATTCTCTCTTGACTAACCATCTCACCTTG